AATCTGACGCATCAGTCTTCTTAAACAAACTAAATAAAAAATAAAAGACTTGCTCATGATATGCTTATTTTTCTGTTAAATCTATTTAACTTTAGGATTTTTTTTTGTTTCAGTGCTAGTCGAGAGGTTCGAATTCTGGAGCGTCGAAATATTTTTCAACTTGCGTTAATATTTAACTATAAGATAAAAACTAATGTCCATAATATCGGCTCTATTTTATATAAACAGACTTAAAAAGTAAGTATTAAATTGTCTACGCAATATTTATTACGTCATGTGAAGAAACCGACTCAAATATGGAGTACTTAACTAGTATTTTTACATTTTCGCTATGAACTCCTCTTCTGAATACAGAAGATGGAATGACAAATTGTACGTGTCAACTCTTTTGGTATAAATGCGTTAACCAATTGATTTACAAAACGAACGAGCTTTCCGGCCGGAGTATTCCCAATTTGGAAGCATCCGGTTAAGCTTCACCGAACTGGATGTAAGGAATGAGATATGTGACCGTTCAGACAGTCAGAATTTAGACTGGCACCGCGGTAAACAACTTGCACATACGCTTTACTTTTGATAGATAACCTTCCTAATTAAATAATCACACAATTTATTTCCATTGTTTTCACTTTACCTTAACGAAATGGATTTCGATTTCGATGTAGATATAAAATTGTTTTGTTAGTTTAACAGTGCCTTAAATATATAATCGAATGCATTTCAATGGTCTATTTTACTTACTAAAAATACACGGGCTACTTACTCCCGCTCGATTCTTACCTGAAATAGGAATAAATTGTCAGTTAATTATTTCTCATTGCTTGATGCTATAAAAGGTATTTAAAGAGAGTTGTATATTTATTAGTTTTTCGGTACCGATTCTAATTGATTATTTACGTTCTATAATTAAATATTAATACCTCATACGTACTCTTCGATAGCACTAAAGAAAATCCTTCACTTCTTTCGGGAGCTAATTTTTATAAATTGTATTTCTTACATTTACTTTCAGCATCAGTTTTTAGTTACACGATATTTTAACCTCTCTACCTATATAGATTATTACTAACCTATGTTTTTAGTGGTCAAGTCTTGAGCTAAAGTAGCCTTTCATTTTATTATTTAGTTTCTTCAAACTACTCGTTGTAAAACTGCGTAAAAACATTTGTTTTTTTTTTTTAAAAACGTTACAGTTATTTTCTTCTCAATTTATTACATATATTTATTTATTTATATTAAATATGACTGTGAAAAAAATAGTCCTTGTTTATGACAATGCCTGTATTTAACAAAGCACCAATCGTCGAACATAAGTAAGAAAAGTGATAAAGAATATAACTTCTGTGCAGGAAATAATTAGAGAACAATGACACTATCGCTAGCTTTGGCGGCTTTATGTTAAACAATTCGGTTTGGCCTAATATAATGCATTGAGCTGAAAATAGTCGAGGCGTCTCGGCCGACACAGAAATAGAGGCCAACGCAGTGTGGCTTCCAGCAAGTGGACATACATATAAATTCATATCCAAATCAGAGAATTAATTTCCGTAAGCGTCCTTTAAGGACGATATATCTATATTATGTTATCCTCTAAAACATCAGCTTTGTTTTATACTGTTTAACGACTTTGCTGAAAGACGTGGGAACCTCATTCTGATTAGACATTCATTATTCATCAAATACGTCTTCTGTGGGGCTTCCCCGTTCTTGAGGCACCGACGTACTCGCAGCATTGCAATATGCGACAACTAAAGTTACACACAATTATATTTATTTTTTTCCCAGTACTAATCGGTGGCCAGTGACTAAGCAAGATGCAATTTTATGGTATGCATACCCGATAGAGTTGATCAAGACTTCTCGTGTTATCAAGAACGCCGAGTTGCGTTCTTGTTAGGAATTTGTTTACACACTCTAACGTTCGTCGTTGACGTGAGCTATTAAATTAGTTTAAGCGAATTAAAATATTAACGAGTACCGTTCACCAACGGTCTCGTTACGTTATACGCTTTAGTGTACTGTCTACCCCAGAAATATTTAAAGAGCAAGAGCATGTAGCTGTTCTTGTCAAATTTCAAAACAGTTACAGATATCGCGAGGCACAACGCAACCAAATTCCCTCGCCGACCATAAATAAGCGCGCACATCGAACCATAAAGTTATTATAAATCTTTTTAGGTCATTTGGACGCAGCTGCGCCGGATATCGGCGGGTTGCAGCGTGCGCCGCGCCCTGCGGCGTGTTATGCAATCAAAATGGGGGGCGAGTCTGGTGGATATTGTTTAAAGAACTAACGAGTTTTCAGCTCTCAAAGGATTGAACTAACGTTTGTTTTAAGAGGAGGAAGCACACAGTTCCCTATCGGTTAAAGATTACGCCAACCCATAGAAGCGTTTGCATAGACAATAGTGTAATGATTGAACAAATATGCAAGGGCCGTGGTAATTCCCCGGTAGACTTGCCTCTTTCTTCCCACAATACAACCAACATGTAATCATAGATGTTTATTTTACTTAATACAATTAGATGATTAGGAGCGAATCATTCTAGAAACTCCTTATGTCTCTATACAAGGTAGGAGCTTACTTAAAGAGCCTGCGAGAATGATTATCCTCTTGATACGGGTAATGGGATAAAAAGTTAAGCTTCTTTAAGCAATACAATTAATTGCGGCGTACATTAGAGCGTATATAATTTGAATAAATAATGAAATTGACATGTGCTGCAATAAATTTTGACTTCAAAGTTGATAGGAAGGATATACTATATTTTATAAATAAGGTGCTATTCATATTAAGAGATACGGGAGTCGGAGGTACCGTAGATTACTTCGAATTAGTACAGTACAGACCAGTATCTGTGCTATACTAATTCGAAGTAATAGCTAGTTAGCTACCTACTAACTAATAGCTGTTCCTCTGTTAACTACCTTGAAGTTGAAAGACGTTAAATCAATTGCTTTTTAATTTAGATCTGCTCAAAGCGTTTTAGGGCTCCGGCTACCTAATTCAGCAGACCAGACATATAACAACATTTCCACTTCAAGCCTCTTCCGTGAGGCCGCGTTACTTTCCCGGACGGACCTGCCCATTCGTGCAGCATTGCGAAGACTAAATTTTACTATTTAGAAGGACTGAAAAAACACTTCGAAATCGTTCATTTACAAGCTATGGGTAATAAAACATTGATAGCCATGAGAGGGCGATGGATGATTCAACGCCCGCATGGAAACATTCTAGAAACAAGGGCGCACTCTGACCGTATTCGATTAAATCGCAAATGTAATCTAATTGCGAAACCCTTCGCCATCTTGATTGAGTTACTCTAGTTTGTTTACTGTTCCCGAAGCACAGTTTTGTATGGCTTGCAATAGGCGACATGAATGGAACACGTATGGATGGAATATGAAATATGATGGAAACTCTAATGATGTTTACAGTACATACTATATCTTAAATAATGTACATATATACTCGATATATTTCAATAAATATTTTTAGTTACACTAACTGTACACTTTGATGTGCCATGACTTAAAACTTGGATGTAAACACTATGTATAGATTGTTATAACTGCTGAAGTAAAAGTAATTAAAACTTTGTATTCATTCGATTTTTTTTAATTGCTTTTTATAAATTCAGTAAATGATTTCAGTAATTGCTCGTATCATCTATATGCTGGCTGACCTTCTACTTTACGTACAATCAGACACTGACAATACCATGCGGTTTATAAACTTAACCACAATTTAAAAGTTTTGTATGATATATACAGGGAGATTTTTTGAGAAGTGCCCAAATTTACACAGGAGGTTCAGACTCGGTAATACAATCGTTTATTGAAATAAAAAAAATTTTTTTTTCCAAGAAAAAAAACCATTTAATACCGTAAAAAACAGAACGTGTTCACAACGCGGTAGTCATTCAAATACGTAAATTTTACTGCGCACGAACTTGTGCGCGTGTTAGTTATGAATGATCGCGCGTAAAATAAATGAGATGCGTATAAATCACGCACTTTTTGAGATAAGTTCAAATGAATGTAATTAATTACTTACGAGTGATTTTAAATATTTATCATTTTTTATGTCTAGAATGTAATTAAAAAGTGGATACACTTAGAAAAGCCACCATGTATATAGTATAAATAAATAAAAGTTCAAGCTATATGGTATCTAATTGAACACATTAATCCGTCAACTGTCTTATATCAGTGACTTTCCATTGCCTTCAACTGCACGGATTGCAGACTAAACATTGAAAAGTCAACAATCAAATGGCACCGAAATCGATAAATTTCCACGGAAAGTTCCTTCACACTGGGAAATCGTCCAGAGTTATTTAGAGTCGCGGAGACTGGCGTATCATAACCGATTATGAATTATGATTCATTTACAGATGATATAACATTTCCCACTTTATTCAGCCACCAGAAAATAACTGAACTAATATGACGTAGGTACGTTGCGTATGATATTTGAATATATTGGATTTTTGTTATGAGGAAGCACTCAGTTCTCGAGAATGTTTCGTTTGTATACAATCGTAAAATATCACATCATAAATGCGCATGAAGAGCGCGAAAGATATAATTTACTGGCATCATTGAAACAGTCTTCATCGCCAGTACAATTAACGACTCGACTGACTCACATCGGATGGGGCATTGCAATATAAACTCTAATTGCCGATCAAAAGATGTATTTTGGTCAATTACCATAGGGAACAGATTGTTTGAGATCAAATAAACCGTTTGTTTATATTCACGAAACTTATATTTTAAAGGAAAAGCACAATATCATGAACAAGAATGACATTTACAGGGGAAGAAAATGTCTAATTATTTTCTCTATGATAAAAATTAAATGTATTGTTTTTGTTAAGTAAATAAGGGCTTCGGACAATAGTGTTATTGTTGTTTCACCTTTGTTTCATAAGAACTTTCATAAGCATTAAAACATAGTGATAGTATATCTAATATTGTTCATTTTTCTTTAAAGGAAATGCACTGCATTCACATTACGCAAATGCCTGTCTCAAGCGAAAATAGGGCAAGCGTTCGAGAATCAAAGATGGCCGCCCGAACGCGGGAAAATCAACAGTCCGTACTGCGACGGCGTGTTCGCGGGAAACTATTTCGGGTTCAATTTATCGCTTGAGCGGCAACATCCACTCGATGTTGACCCGAGCATAAAGCCGTGTATTGTCCAAGATTACAATGGTTTCGCGTGTAATTAATTGGAATGATGATCGGTCGGGATGCCGCCGACCGTAACACGCGAACTGCAAACATAACGCGGCAATGACATTATATTTTTCATTTGGAATTTTTAAAAATTTTTTCGCGGCCTGACGCGAATGCCGAAGACGTGGGTTCGATTCCCACAGCGGCGACAACCTTTCGTACTTTTTCAACAAGTTTTAATGTATAATCTTAGGTGCAGAGATTATAGCACTATAAAAAAGTTTAAATTTCTAAAAAGCTATGGCGACATCTCTCGTTCGAAATGTTGTAAAACGATATTCGAAAGTGTTTGTATGCTGGAAAGGATATAACAATAGATGCGCCAAGCATTGCTTCAAATGCTTAATAACAATGCAGATAAAAGACGTTAAGATTTTCGTCGGTGTGGCAATCAGCCGTTAAGCTAAGTGACTAAAGCGTCAGGCCGCGAATGCCGAAGACGTGGGTTCGATTCCCACAGCGGCGACAATCTTTTCGTACTTTTTCTAAAAGTTTTAATGGAATTTTTACGTTTAAATATGATAATGATATTATATAAGTTTTCATAAATACGTAATCGTTCAAGCTATAAAAAGATTCATGTGAAATAATTTGATTTAGGTAATAAAGGATTTGCTCGATAAGTAACTTATTGAAATTGAATCAAGGACGTCTAATTCAAACCAATGCTTTTGAACAAGAGGTAAAGTGAAAACTTCCTGTGCTGTTGAATGGTTGACAGATTCAATTGTATTGATTTCGCATGTCGACGTCTATCGAAATAATTGTGTTAATTCTTCTTCACTAAAATTCATTGAAACTTAAGAAACGCTAAAAACTATATTATAATAATATAAACCCTTAGATGTGATTATACAACCATTCAATATAACATATATTGAATGAATTGATTTCAACCTGATTTGATATTTCACTATATATTCCCATGCTCATATAAGCCCATAAAAAATATTTTACACTATGACAACTATACTATGGTGGCCCAGTACCTTCAACATTGTAGTTAATGTTTAAATATTGCTTTATTAAGCTTCTTGCATCGCTCCGGATTCCTCGCTTTTCATTTTTGGAGTTTATTACCATTTATAATTTTATTTCTCACCTTCGCAATCCGAGTCAACAATGACAAAGCTTCTGTTTAATTGCTAATAAGAAAATAATTTTCCATAGCGAACAATTGGCTTAGTCATTCGATGCGTAAAATAGCTTCGGATTGTCCGTGAAAATCATTTCAATAGTACGCGCGTGCGTATCACAGAATCATTAACAAGCAAACAAAATATGGCATGGAATATTAATAAAAAAAAAAATGGAAAAATTTAATGACCATTGCAGTACAGTTAAATATTCTAAATAAAATAATATAATCCTTAATAATTTATACTTTGTATTATTATACATAATTATTTGGTCTAAAATGAGTCCAATGGAGTAGTGTTTATAACTGTAAATACATATTGTTAAGTTAAAAAATAATCGTTTTTATGTTTAAATATTTCTTATAATTTATCAATTTAATTCGGATTTATTACGTTTTTATTTTATTCATAATTTCGAATATAGTTCCATTTTAATCATTATTTTAGTACAAGCTATTACAATAAGTAGAGAAAGCAGTATATAGATAATAAAAAAATGTAGGTGTTTCTATGTTTGGATCTTATTTATCATTTGTCAATTATTATTATTTAATTTTGATTTTAATATGTATTAATTGAATTGGAACCATTGGCCTTTGCCAGAAATAAAGAATTATTATTATTATTAGTCCCTACAACGCAATCTTTATACCATTGTCTGCGACCACATAAAATATACTATGCATCAACGACAGCATGCGAATATGGCATCGGCGATTTATTCTAGGAAAATTAACGACCGCTTAAGGTGGACATTACCATTGCAAATTTTACGCGCCGTTGCGTAGAAACGTTTGTTTATGTACGTATGGGGCAAAATCACTTCGTTCTGGTCTTTTTAGCTTTTCTTTTAATAATCGTTGCTAGTCCACTGTCCCAGTTAGCCATTTTATTGGCAATATAATAGTTTGTGTGTGATTTAACTGACGTTTAATGCTATCTTTGAATCAGTTTTTTCTATCACAAAAAGTAAATTTTGAAATCTTATCATCATCATCATCATTTCAGCCTGTTTGAGTCCACTGCTGAACATAGGCCACCCCCACAGACTGCCATGAAGTACGATCCTGAGCCACCTGCATCCATCGACTTCCGGCACATTTGCACAGGTCGTCACTCCATCTAGTGGGAGGTCGGCGTACACTGCGATGGCCAGTACGAGGCTGCCACTCGAGAACCTTTCTTCCTCAACGGTTATCGGTTCTACGAGCTACATGGCCGGCCCATCGCCACTTCAGCTTGCTAATCCTCTGAGCTATATCGGTTATCTTAGTTCTACTGCGGATGTCTTCGTTACGAACTCTATCACGCAGAGAAATAACAAGCATAGCCCGCTCCATAGCTCGCTGAGCGACTTTGAAATCTTATAATCTTAAAATATTAATTACTTATCGAACAGTAATTTTATATATGATATTATATGAGCTATGATTAAATTAAATGAAAACTCTTGACGGGGTCATAATTGACGCCATTAAATATTAACTCGCCACTAAGAGCATTGAAGATTATCTTTAAGAAACTATAATTGTCAAAAACATAATTTCGACTCCAGTTTTATTTATTTATAGCACGATAAACAAGTTAATAAACGTTTCACACGAAAAACGGACCCGTCCGCTTTACATAAAGCGCTGTAACGCTGCACAAACTCGAAATTTGAATTTAATAGTTCTCAGAAAACTCCGAAATACGCTCGAAGCTTGCGTCTCAAGTCAAGGAAGATCGTAAAACACCCTCGTATCGTCAGCTTATCTAAGAGCTGTCAAAACGTCAACGGGACCAATTGAATTTTAAATTGGACTGATACAAAAACGTTCAAGGATAGCGTCACAAGACAGGAATTTACATATTCTTGACGATTTTTGTTTTGAACGAAACGAAATTAAAAAAGTAAACAATATAGCGTAAGCAATGCAAGCTAGATAATTGCAACACAGGCGAATTCTTGTTAAATTGACCTTAGAAAAAATCTTCTTAGAAATCTATATTTTAGTGGAGATCAAATTATGGTAGGTGCAATAAAAAAAAACCAAGTTCATTACTAATGTGAATGAAATATACAATGTATGGAATATATACACGCTTAAATAAATATAAATACTTACATTCATATAGTAAATGCCATCTAAAATCTAGTCTAAGATAGTGATTTCTATGTCTATCTTCTTTTCAATCAAAATACAATTTCTAATAATAATTATTAATACAGGAAGACATTTCTGTTGGGTTTCCAATAAAAATATTTTATTTTAATAATTTTTTAAGAATCCGGTCTAGGTTCCAATATCAATGAAATTATTATAGGATCACATGGCACCACACACAAAAATTATTTTAAAGTCGGTACATAAATGACTTAGTTATGAGAACTGTCTCCTTCTTTGAAGTCGGTTTATAAATAATGTACAAAAAAAAATTGTATTTTTTCCTTACCCGATTACAAAAACACCGGACGTAGAAATCAGGCGGTTCAATTTTTACTATATGTATTTTTCATTTGCGATTATCTTAACGTTAATGTTTCTTTTTTAGTTTTTATATGTGAAACTTGTTGAATTCACAAACAACATCGTAATAAATCTCTACCCCAATAATTTTAGTGATGTGAGAAAAATTAGTAACCATAAAATCGATATAATCAATTAAATACAAGTCCGATTAAGACTTACCCAATGGCCGTGAACAAGCTTCCACTCGAGTACTTGTGCGTAAAGAATTGGTTTTATGTCGAACTTATCATGGACTCGTTTAGATAAAGGCACTACCGGGGAGCTTCTGTGACTTAATTTTATTACCAGCTTGACAATTTTAAGATATCAATAAACCTTATCTTATTTCTACACGCTGGTGGGGCCAATTAAGTTAATCTATAATCTCTAAATTTTAAATTTGCCGCGAGGCTAAAGGCCCATTTACACGATGCCATTTTCTTGTACATGCAAGAGCAATAATTGAATGCAATAAATTGCGCGCAATAATTGGTTAGACCATTTGTTGTTTAGACCATGCAACTTATTTATTGCTTCAATTTAATTGTATACAACAGGCAAGAAACTGGCACCGTGTAAATGGGCCTTAAGAAATCTATAAGTATATGTCGGTCTGTGTCGTGTTCCTGGGACGTAATGGTTCCGTACAAAGTATAGGTACGTCTCAAACGTCGTTACTAATTCGATTTTGATATTTTGTTAGTTGAATTTTTCTATAATATGAAGAATCACCAGTTCACCAGGCTCATAAAGAATTTCTCCCACACTTCTATTTTTAGTTTTTGTTAACATATACGGTGTAATATTACACCTTATAGTATAATATGCCCTAAAGTACTATTAATATCTAATGAGCTATAAATTAATTAAATCATATATTTAACCTCAATCTGCAGTGGGGCCGCGTGGTGGACTATGCCCTGATAGCCTCTTTATAGAGGAGGCCTTTGCCCAGCAGTGGGACATGTATAGGCTGTTACTTTGCTTTACTTTACTTTATATTTTAACCTCATACTAATAATGACTTAGGATAGTCATTGTGAATCACATTAAAAGCAGTCTGATATAAGAAATGTGTGCAGTATATGGAAAACATACTAAAGTTTTACATTTCTTAACGGCGTAGAATAAGCTGTCAATTTAGAATCTAACTATAAAATAATGTTTATTACCTTTTATTTTAAGGGATTTTTATCTAAAAAGATACCCCGACCTGATTGCGAATTTTCGCCATGATAAAATAAACAAGTAAGCAAAAACGTACCTACACGCCAAAGAATGCATATCAGAATTATATTGACTTGCGTTCTAATAAAATGCTTCTCTAGCGCACTCATAGTACAGACAAAGTAGACAAAG